TCCATCAGGGTCACACAAGAGACCTTTTCCAACGCACTGCAACCTGTGGAGATTGCTGAGGAAGCCAACCGCGGCGCTGAGCACAAGCTGACTGAGAAGGAGGTCAGCCAATGCCGTGGCCTCATCATGAAGGCACAATGGAGAGCAGTTCAAACTGCGTTCCAATATTGCGCCCGCGTGGGCATCGCTGCCTCAGCACTTACGGACCCAAGGGTTCAGAACCTGAAGGAAGCAAACAGCATCCTGAAGGAGATGAAGAAGACGGCCAAGGAGGACCTGTACTTCCACTCCTTCAACTTCGGCAAGGCCACGGACGAGAAGCTCACGTGGAAGGACATTGTGGCCGTTCACTTTGGTGACGCGGGGCACAAGAGCCGAGGTGATGGGTCCTCTACAGGAGGATACATTACAGGATTTGCCGAGCCGTGCATCCTTCAGGGAGCCGAGGCAAAAATGTCTATCATAGACTGGCGGAGTTGGAAGCTGGACCGCCCGGCTAAAGGAACAAACTCCACGGAGAGCCAAGGACTCTACGAGGCGGAAGATCGCGGATGGCGAGTGCGGCTACTGTGGGCGATCATGAATGGAGAAGAGCTGAACCGCAAGAATGCGGTGCAACTTGCATCGTCGATGGAGTCACTCCTGGTGACGGACTCCCGGGGACTTTACGATGCCGTGAGCAGCTCCGAATCGCCACTCTTAGGAATGGCCAACAGCCGCACCGGTGTGGAGGTGGCTGCGATCCAGAAAGCTCTACGTGATGATGGCAGATGCTACCTCACGTGGGTTCCCTCCGACATCAACCTGGCAGATTCGCTGACAAAGGCAACAGTGGACGCCTTCAAGGTGGCGGCCACCTACCTGGAGAGGAAGACTTGGGTTGTGCGTTTCAACCACGACTTCGTCAGCGCCAGGAAACAGCAAAGGCTGCGCAGGGCTAAGGAGCTGCAGGAGGCCGCTGTGTCAACGTCGCCGAGCTCACCTGAGTGGGATCAGTACGTAGAACAGCTTTTCGAGCCTGCGGATCCATACCTCCGAGAGTGAAATTTAGCTCGAAAGGGGTTTTTATGGATGCAGCTTCAGCTTAGGCAAGGGCGTCTTTAGGATGCCCGAGTTCGCAGCTAAAGTTTCACACGTGGCCCCTATGGCTCAAACCAAGGGGGCCCCTTGAGCGCAACGAGCACGCGGGTGCCAAAAGGAAGAGAGCCATGTGTCTATAGACGTTTCTTCGACCTGCCGCTGAATTTAGGATCCTTTAAGGTGACCCCAAAAGGGAACTAAAATGGAGACCCTACGCTAAACCCTAAACCGAGGTAGGTACTTAGGGACGTTTTGGGAAAGTGATTCGACGCGTCGGAGTTGCTGGGTTTGGGTTGTAGGATTAGGGATTTTGGAGCCTTTAGGGTTTGGGGAATTCAGGGGTTTAGGGTTCAGGGTTTTAGGGGTTAGGGGTTATACTAAACCCTAAACCCTAAACCCTAAACCCTAAACCCTACAGGGGCTTAGGGTTTAGGGTGTAGGGGTTTAGGGTTTAGGGCTTGGTCTTTTGGAGCGGTTGAGGACTTAGAAGTTGACACTTCGTAGCTTCGTGTCTCTAGCTGGCAGGTTGTTTTGATTACTAAGCAAGAGAGAGAGAGAGAGAGAGAGACAGATAGATAGATAGATAGATAGATAGATAGATAGAGAGAGAGAGAGAGCGCTATACTCTGTAGCGCCATTCCCGGTATGAGCAGCTCGGCACTGGAACTTGCAACGAGGGGCGCCAGTAATATACAAAGACCAGAAAGCGTACATCAATGCGAGTGTCGCCTGAAACGCTTCTGGCTCCGCGCGTAAGGAACTTGACTTAAGCTATACCATAGTGAGGAAACTCATATACTGAGTACCATGCGACAATCATCGCAACTCAGGTTAAGTTCCTCCAAATGGACCCTACGCCAACATTTGTAAAACCTGATCGAGCCTCGAAGCCTCTAAGCATCTCTAGAAGCCGGCATTTCATAACGTAGGGACCTTAATAATCAGAATAGGGTTTGGGGGCCCATTGTACTATACTTAGAATAAGGACCCCCCCTCCCCCCGCATAGTAGTGGTAATCATTTGGGCACCCTAAACCCTAAACTCTAAACTCTAAACCCTAAACCCAAAACCCAAAACCCTAAACCCTAAACCCGACATTATATGTTTCTGAGGAAGTGCTCCGGTCTTTCAGCTCGTCTTCACGGGAGCAGCATCAGGCCCATTAGGGCAGGAAAGTCGCTCTTTTTGGGTTTAGGGTTTAGGGTTTAGGGTTTAGCTTAATCGAAGTGGCCACAGTATTGTTGATGATATAAATCCTGCATTACCTTCAGGATTCAGGACCCTAAACACTGGGAATTGTGGTATATTCCTTATTCTGGGTAATGCAGGGTTTGTATCATCAACCGTAGGGATCGGGGTTTAGGGTTTAGGGATCAGGGCTTAGGATGTAGGGCTCTAGACTTAAGATCCTTAGCACGAACCCGAAGTTGAATCCAGGAGGGACGTCGGTTTGCGTACTTCTATGGCTAGGGCGTTTCGGGTTTAAGGTTCCCAACATCCCCTAAACCCTAAACCCCTATACCCCTAAACCCCTAAACCCCTAAAACCTAAACCCCTAAACCCTTTGGTGTTGTCATCGGAACCTGAAAGACGATGTCACGCTCTTGCTCTTCCCTTCTATGAACCTCAAACGGGCGTTTAGAACCTTTGTTGTGCTCTAGGTTTTACGGTTTCGGGTTTAGGGTATGGTGGCTTAAGGAAGATTACCTTTCAAGTGCTGTTTGCTTGACCAGATGCTTCAGTGTCTGAAGCCGAGATGCTTGATGAAGGGTTTCAAGGTCTTGGGTTACGTCCGCCATGCTTCTGTTCGTTCACGTGCAGCACCAGTCGATGATGATAGTATAGGGGCCTAAATAGTTACCTCTACTATTTTGTTCCTTTTTATAGTTACAGTAGAATATACCCCAAAACC